GGTGCTGCGGCCGCCGCGCTCGGGGAAGCGCTCCGGAGCGCAAAGCGCACTGTCCGCGTGGCTCCAGGCGTGCGTCCCGCGTGCGGCCACGACTGTCAGTCGGTGCCGCCGCCCGGGCTCTGTGGCCGGCCACCCGCGATCTCGCCCTCGCCTTCTCTAGCTGAGCCGGGTAGGCCAGGTCCCCGGGGCTCCCGCCGCAACTGAGCGGAGCCCAGTGGCCCGCCAGGCTTACATCAGCGGCCGCCTCCCCCGGAGCGCCCTCCGGCAGCGCTCCGGCTCCCGCGCCCCGGAATATTCATGAAGCCGCCGCAGCTCACGGGTTGCCATAGGAGCGGCTCCCGCAGCCGGGCCTGCCTACCTGGGCTTCTTAAAGGGGCAGCGGCGCGCCGGCCAGGACCTGGAAGGGGGCGCGGGGCGGACCCGGAGGGGGGCGCGGGACGGACCCTCGGCCGACCCTAGGAACCGAGGTAGGCGGCGTCCTTACTCTTGCGGGCTCAGGGATCTCTGCCCACCAAGGGCTGAGAGCGCCCCCGAAGTGGAGGACTCCTGCTGGGGCTCAAGATTGGAGGGGCGGGGTTTCCCAGTCTCCCCTGAGCGGCGGGCTCTCCTTCCCCTGCCCGCTCTCACTCTTGACGCCCGGGTCTCCGACCCTCCTCTGGAGAGGCGTGTCGGTCATAGGGCTGCAGAGATGCTGCTTTCCCGCAACTCGCCTGGAGAGGGGGTTTCCGGGAAACGCGTCCAGCCAGGGGCGGTTCCCAGGGTTTTCCTATGACTCTAGCGGGGTCTTCCCCAGCGGAGCCTCGGCCAGGAGGGCTTAGGGGAAAAGTCTCCAGGCGCGCACCCGGCGCGCAGGTGAACCCGACCCTGCGAGGTAAGACTTCGAGGAAATGAGCGGGCAGCAGCAGTCACGGACGCCGATCCCAAAGCCGGAACCCCCACTTCCCACTCCCTAGCTCCCTTCGCCGAGCGATCCGACGCAGCTGCAGCCCGGGGACCTGTGGGCAGGCTCCTCTGGTGACCTGGCACTCTGGGGCTGGCTTTGAAGCCCTCTCTCCGTGTGCAGCCATCCAGTTAAGACACCTCCTGTGTGACCAGCTGTAGAAGGAATTCCAGCTCCACCCAGACACTCTCCTTCTCTCGTCCTAGCAGCTGCACAGCCCAGCCCCCTTTTGATTCCCCTTTTCAGGTCAGCCTGAGATGTCCTCTCTCCCTGTGTTACATTCATTCTCTGCTTAAGGGAAAATCCCAGTAACTCAGCCTAAGGTGTCCCTCACTGGTTTCCAGTTCCCTGGGACAGCCCCACCTTAGCTAAAAAATGGGCGGGGCGGGGCTGGTTTCGGAAAAATTGCTGGTCAGGAAAGGTTGGTAGTCTGGGGTAGTGCACAAACATCCTCAGCAGAGTCTGACAGAAAGGCTTTTTAAAAGAACCCCTAATTCGCTGAGGAACAGCATGAAGTTTTCTTAAAAAGGTTTTTAAATTTTAATTCTTAGCTTACCTGTAGCCATACACACATTTAACCCTGACACGCTCGCACATACACACCCAGAAAGGAAATTCTGGAGGCAGAGGAAAGGAGGTAGGTAGGGTGGGCAGCCTGGTAGGGACTTTTCTGCTCTACTCCTCGGACCACAGGAACTCGCGTGGGGGAGGGAATGACTGAGGTGATGACATCACCCGGAGCTGGCATTTCTACTTTTGAGCAGTCCTGAGCTGACAGTTCCCTGCACAGATGCTGCGAGGCCTGATCCCTCAATGTCCTTGGGTCTCCTTGAGGAGTGTTCTTAACTGGCTGAGAGCCCTGTCTCTTCGGTGTGTGAGACCTCCCTTTAGCTCACTTCCTTTGACTTATCTGTTCACCGGGAGCCAGTCTGCAGTGAGTGACCCAGCTACAGCAAGGCAGCCCTAGCAGGACTTCCTTTTCTCCAGGAACCCTTTCCTGACCACCGAATTTTGGTCATGCCTCCTCCTTCTGGTGCTCATAGCTAGTGAGCCCCCATCAACCGGAGTACTGATGACGTGGTGCAGTCCATGTCCCCTTCTGGACTGAGTTCCCTGATTGTGAAACAGGACTAATTCATCTGGGACACCTGGACACCAACACAAGGGTGGACAGAAAGCAGATCAATAAGTGTCAACTCTACCCAGTGGAGGATCCTGGAAGTTAGCTAGTGTTGGTGAAGGGGATCCTGGGATAATATAGAAAATATGACTAAAATTTTGCTTCCTGGGAACCACTATCCCAGGCTGGCCAGGGTCATGGCCTCCTGATTTTTCCACCTCTAGTACCTCATCCTCAGTTTGGTCAGCACCACCCATTCACAGCCATCTAGAGCCAACTTTGAGTACAGAAATGACCCATAGATAAGTCGAGTCCATGGTAGCACCCAACTGAGGTGGAGCCTCTCCTGTCTCCTCCACGTGGGAATATTAATAGGGGATGTCCGTGGTGTGCCGGCAGTCTGAGGGATGGAGAAAAAGAAGGGGAGGCACTTGGTGGTAGGCTCCACATTAGGAGACTAGACTCACACTCTGAAATAGAGGAGAAAACCAGTGACAGGAAAGAAATATGTGATAGAAGCTAGATCACGCCCCAACCCTGGGAGAATTGGGAAGGCTCCTAAGCCTGGGCAAACTAGGAAAGCCTTCCTAGAAGAAGGAATCAGATTTGGTGAGAAACGCATATCCAGCACAGAGGATGCTGGGTGTCCTACTCTATCACCGTAAGTCTCAACCCCTTGAGACAGTCTCTCACTGAACCTGTACCTCGGAGTGGAGCAAACAGGCTTCATGGATCTTAGTGTCTCCCTCCCCTACCCCCCCGCATCCCCAGCAATGCGATTACAGGCATGCACAGCCCACTCAGCTTTTTATGAGGGTGCTGGGGATTTGAACTTCAGTCTTTGTGCTTACACAGCAGGTGTTCTTAACCACTGAACCATCTCACCAGCCCCTGTATCCAACACTTCAGGCTTTATTTGTTAAATCACATCAAATTGTCACTTTGTTGAGCCAACTGTGGTTAAATTTTGGCAGTTTCACATGGCTCAACCTAGTGTTTTTACTCATGTTTGCAAGCAAGAGAACTAAAACCCAGAGAGGTTAAACAACTTGCCAAGTGCTCCCACAGGAAGAAAATGGCCGAGCTGGGACACCAGCCAAGGGGCTCCACAGGTCAGGCTCTGCCCTGTTGCCCAGCTGACTTGCCTAGGTGGGAGGGGGCAGGGACAGGAGAGAGGGAAGATCTTCTGAGTCTAGCCTGAATGAAACAGGGATGAAGATGGAGAGGGAATGGACCCATATTCTGTATTCTTCCCATTGCTCTGTCTGCACCTGTCCTTTCTACCACTTTCTGAAAAGCCTGGGGTCTTCTTAGGTTCCTCCTGGTATGTTGGAGATCTGGGTCTAAGAGAAAAGGGGGCTGGTGAGGCTAGGTCTCTTCCTCTGGGAACTAAATATTAATGAAAGTCAGGAGATCTTCCAGAATTAAAGTGGGAAGTAGTGACTGTATGTACGCCAACCTCCAACCCTTTTTGCTTATGGGCCAAGGTCATTGTTCCTGCTTAAAGAGTTATCTCTGGAGTGGGGCAATGGCTCCCATACCCTGCAATGCCAAGATTTTGGCCAGTTCTTACAATGTAAAGTGTCCATTATCCTTTCTTAGAAGGCTGCCTATTCAAAAATAATATCCTTGCCACATTTTCTTTGTTAAAAAACGCCCTTTTATTAAATCATGGTACTGAGATTTTTTTTATGTCCTTGGCCAAATAAAAAATTGGCATAAGGTTCTGTGTTTGTTCCCCCAAAATAACTTCTGAAATGCTATTGGTCTGTGAATTCCAAAATCTAGGAACCCCAGCTAGAAACAATAGAAACTGATGTGGGGCCACAAAGGCTGTGGAATAAATTTCTCCTCTGTCACTTGCCGCCTCTATGTGCCTTGATCTTCCTCCTCTACAATGGGTTTGGCATTAATCACAAGTTATGGTGAAGACCAAATAAGGAGCTACATGTATGAAACATGCAGTAAGTGTATATAGTAAGTACTCATCTCTGCATGATGGAACCTGGAATGAAGCCTGCAATGGAAGGGGAGACCCTTGGCTTTGGAACTCCAGTTTAGGTCATACGTTCATCTTAAAAACTGTTGTAGGAATGAAAGGGGTGTCTTACTATACAAAACTGTTTCCTTTTCAGTCACTATCCCTGGCAAACTCTGGCAGGGTCTCCAAGGCACATCTGCAGGGAGCTGTCTAAATGAGATCAGAGACAGCTAACTCAGAATCAGTTGTCCTGACCATGTGCTCAGGAGCCCCCAAGAAGGTAGGAGGTCGGGGTCTTAGTACACAGATGCATTTCCAACATTTGTTTAGTTTAGATGTGGTCCTACCCAGTGTGCCTTCTGTTCTGCCAGGCTAGACAGTGGCTGGGGAGGTCAGGGACATAGAGACTTCCTGCTGAGAGTCCTGACTTGGAGCACAGGCATCTGAGAAAGAGAGCTGGCCTCAGCAACATTCCCTATCCCAAGGCTTCTTGTTAAATACAACAGGATGCAGAGTAGTACATGGGGCAGCTGGATGGG